GTGTTTGCCTGCATTAGCCGGGCTTGGAAAAAATGAGAAAGTTATGGGGTGTTTTTTTTTTTAAGGGGGGGGGAGATCATCAGGGGCAGGAACTCAAGAGAGGCGACTCTGTCTCCTTCATTACCAGCGGATCTGTCAGGGGCGATTATTTTCCAAAGAGCCCGGCCCTTTTTCTTTCCAGCTCATGAATGTTGCAAAGGGAGATGGGGTTGAGGTTTTCAAAGGGGTGGGGGGGGGAGAGGAAAGGAGGTGGTTGTAACAGCCAGAGGGAGAAGAAGCAAAGAGGGGAGAGAATGCGGGTTGGTTTTTTTTGTTTTTTTATCGAGTGCAATTATTAATCACTTCCCTTTTTGGGGGGAGGGGAGGGCTACAGAGAGTTTAGGAGGATTTGAAGCTGCTTATCCCAGAACAGACTCCCGTATTTTGTTGGCCCTGTCTTTTTTTTTCCCCTGATCGAAGGAAAGCAAGAGAAACCTGTTGGGGCCAGCCCAAATCTTGCACTCAGAAAGTCCCAGGTGACACACACACACCTGCACCCCCAGGTAAGACTGGGAAAAGGTCTCCCTCTGAAACCCTCAAAAACAGCTACCCGTCAGCGAAAAATGGCCACCTCTAACCTGGGGCAATCTTGAGATGCGTTAAGACGACAACCCCCAGGATCCCCAGCCATGGTGGCCAAGGATGGGACTTGCAGTGTGTATTGTGGTGTATTGGCCCCTCTTGGGCCGCCTATAACCAACCCCCACATGAAAAAAAAATAAATAGATTTGTTTGTTTTGTCTGTCTTTAGCCGTACCCATAAGCAAACATCCCTTTGCCCCAGTCCCTTGAAAAAATCACTCTGGGCATGTTTAGCCTTGTGACGAGAAGACTGAAGGGGTGATAAGTTAGCCCTTTTTTAAAACTTGGAAAGTATTGATATAGAGGAGGGGCAGGATCTGTTCTCAATCCTCCCAGAGTGAAGGGCACGTAAGAATGGGCTCAAGCTGCAGGAAGCCAGATTTGGGCTGTGTATCAGGAAAAACTTCTTAACTGTTAGAGCAGTACGACAAGAGAACCCACAATGGAGGTATTAAGCACTCCAACCCTGGAGGCCTTCAAGAGAAAACGGGAGAGCCCTCTGTGAGATATGCTTTGATTTCGATTTGTGCCTTGATCAGGCGGTTGGACTCTATGGCCTTTTAGGCCACTTCCAACTCAGATATTTTATGATTCTATGAATTTGAATGCACACCTGAGAATCTAAATACAGTGGTGCCTCGCACAGCGAGGTTAATCCGTTCCGGATTAACCCTCGCTGTGTGAAAGCATCATTGAACGGGGCAAGAAAACCTATTGGAACGCATTAAACAGTGTTTAATGCGTTCCAGTTGGGCTGAATACTCATCGTTCAACGATGCTTCTGGGTGGCTGTCAGCCATTTTCGCGCCCTGCCCTCGCTGAACGAGGGCGCAAAAATGGCTGTGATCAGCTGTCCGGCGGATCCAAAATGGCTGCCGGAACAGCCAAAATGGCCGGCCGCAGCGTTTTCGCGCCCTGCCCTCGCTTACTGGGCAGCGAAAATGGCGGCCGGATCGAGGATTCCCCGCATAGCGGTGAGTTTTTGCCCCCATAGGAACGCAGTAAACCAAGGGCGCGAAAACGTTGCGCGCAGCCATTTTGGGGTTGCGCGGTGGCGATTTTGGACCCGCTGATCGCCGGATCGCAAAGCGAAGGTCGGTAAGCGAACCACTTACTGACCTTCGCTCTGTGAATTGTGCCCTATCTAGGTGCCATTTTGCGATCGCTTTTGCTATCGCAAAATGGCACCGTTACGCGGATTTGTCGCTCTACGGAGCAACTGTTCTGCGAGGCACCACTGTATTGAATCCATGGAGCAAGGAGACCTTTGTAGTAGCTGCTGACACCACCTTGCCCAAAACCTCCAGAGATCTGGTGCCTACCTGGTCAGAGAGGCTGGCGCACGATCCACCAAAATCTTCCAGATCGGATTTGGACCCCCCGTCTCGGTCGTCGATCACCAGGTCAATGGGCATCTTCCCCTTGAGACAGGTGATGTAACGGTGGCAGAAATTGTCACAAAGGTCATGGACCTGCCGTCATACCGCCCAGAAAAGTTGAAAACAAAAGAAGAGTCAAAACGACAGAAGGATCAATAATACCGACATAGGCTTTCACCCACTACAAAAAAAGAGGAGAGTGTTTTGAGATATTCACGACACCCCATCGAAAAGCATGTCAGCTTCTACAAGATCTTTCCCAGCAACGTGTGAACGAAAAGACCGGTTTTTCCGTCCATGACCTCAGCAGATCCCACTGATTTTGTGCAAAAATCCGTGACAAAGTTTTGCAAAATCAACAATGCACGAAAGTTCGTAATTTTGTACAGCCAAGTGAACGCTTTTGAAATGTTTCATTCTCAGCTGGAAAAGTGAAACAAGCAAAGATTTATGATCCTCGTCAAGACCAGCCGGGTCAAGTCGTTGGAGCTGCTAATGATCCAGTCTTCTAATTATCTGATGTTTCAGTGCTATTGCCCCTCAGTTTAGTAAAAGGTGTTTTGATTACTAATTCACATGTTTTAGGGTTGGAAGAGGAAAAATGAACAATTTCCCCCCAACTAAACCCATGCCGAGATCCATGGGATGTTGTCTCTAAATTATCAAAGTTCCACAGACCTGTCCAGTTTCTATCTGCATGAAAGTAATGAACAATGCAGATGGATTTTACAGACAAATGCATGGAAAGAGGTCAGGCCTTCCAATGGTTACAAGGCAAGATGCCTACACTGAACCTCCATGTTCAAGAATAGTCTACCCCACAATAGCCAATGCTAGGGATCAACATTAAGACAGATCTTCTGGCTCACTGCTCTGATCCTGAGCCCTGCCTTCTATCGAGACACAAGACTTGGGGTTAGAAAACGCTTGGGTTGATCCAACAGGACTTCTTATCATCTCGCTCTCTGTTTACGAGGTTACATTGGGTCATAAAATATGCATTCACAGCCTCAAAGCCGGCTGGGTCAAGCTATGGCGATAGAAAACCCAAACTTTTTAAACTGCACCTCTCAGAATCCCTGTAGTCCAAACAAGTGGACCTTGGAATGCTCTTCCATCCCATATCTTCTATTTCTTATAGAGGACTTTGCTCAGGATGACTTTCTTAGTGCTTGGGTACCCAAAGGGTTGTGTCGGTGCAACCACTTTGCTTCCTGATCACCAGAATTTATTTTCCGTAGGAAAACTTTCAACCGTACACTCCTTCTAGACTGAAATGATACAATCTAGACCAGTGGTGTCCAACCTTGGCCGCTTTCAACCGTACACTCCTTCTAGACCTCTCTGCAGACTGAAATGGTACGATCTAGACCAGTGGTGTCCAACCTTGGCCCTCCAGATGTTCTTAGACTACAGCTCCCAGAAGCCTTCACCACCACCTCTGCTGCCCAGGATTTCTGGGAGTTGAAGTCCAAGAACATCTGGAGGGCCAAAGTTGGACACCACTGATCTAGACCAGTGTTAGTCCCAACCAGATGTTCGTGGACTTAAACTCCCAGAGGCCTTCACCACTAGCTGTGGCTGACCAGGATTTCTGGGAGTTGTAGTCCAAAAACATCTGGTTGGGACTCTAGGTTGTGAATCCCTGATCCAGAAGATGCTTTTGCCATCTGGTTTCCCCTGGCTGCATTTACCAAACTTAAAAAAAAAAAACCTGGAAGGAGCCGTGGTGGAACAGAAGAGTTACAACATTCGTGCTCTTTGCCATCATCACCACGCCCCGTGTTCAAATTCTTTCCGGCAGCACTGAAGTCTAGAAACTTGGCTTCTTTGGGGTTTGTTTCCAAACCGCACTTGAGAAGAACCCATTTTTTAATGCCACGGATCTCATGGACATATGCCTGGGGAGGGAAGGAAACGTTACCCACTCAAAACTAGTTTAGCATTTAGTTAATAAAGGGAAAGGGGCTTGCTGACCTAGTTTGGAACAGCAGTTGTAATGCAGTCACAAACGCAGGTCAAAGATCTAAGCAACTCGTCCTGTTTCCCCCCCCCCCCCCATGTCGGCTGCATTTTCATCTACCCCGCTACCAACAGAGGACCAGTATCCTTGCTTGCTCTTTTCAGAACTCAATAAGCTCTGCACCCCTACTGGGGGAAAAGGGATTAAACCCCATCTTCTAGACGCTGCTGCTTCCCAGCCGGTGCCCACTGCGTGAATCAAAGGGTTAATTATCACATTAACAAGGGATTTAACAGGTTACAAACACAGAGTTTTATTGTATGGATAACGAGCTCATTACTCAAGCCAAAAGGATGCCCCTCGCTTCCTCTCACCCACCCACCCCGCCCCCTGGGCTGGTTAATTTAGGGGAGGGGGGATATTGAAAGGATGCTTCCTGCCCCCATGCCCAAGCTCATGCTTTCTCGAGCCCCACTGAATGAGGCTTGGGCTGACCCTTTATTTGCACAACGCCAGAAAGCAGAACAAACGGGGAGCACCCCTGCTACTGAATCTGCAGGGGGTGGTCACTGTGGATGATGGACCTGATCTCCCTCCCGCACCTCCTGAATGGATGCAACCCATGTACAGCAACCCAGGTACACTTCTGTGAGAATTAGACTCACATTGGTGGTGTTTCGGTTTCAGTAATCCTGCTACCAAAAATTAATTGCATGGGATGCCCATTTCATCGCATCAACCATTTTTCTTTCGGGTTGAAAAAATAAACAGACAAAGGCGCTGGGAGCTCGGGAACCGGGCCTTTTCTCTCGGAAAACGAAGTTACTTGTTCTTTTTAAATGGTGCCAGGAGAGAGCTCCCTGTTCTGGAAGGCACTTCTTGATGAAATCACGCTGGGGCATTAACCTCTTTGGCGGACAGACCGTGCCCAGGGATTCATGGATTTAAGATATTTTATTTTTTAAAAATGTATTTAAAACATTTTTATCCCACCTTTCTCGTTCAAAAGAATTGCCTTGAGTTTTGAATCAACGAATATCTGGGCACTCCCCCAGAACAATGTCAGCTGCATTGCTACATTTGAAGTCAACAACAAGTCAAGTCAACTCAACTCAACTCAACCCAACAACTAACCTTGGTGGAAATTCTTGGAGAGGAGCCGGCAGGATAAAAACCCACTTATAGAACAGGTCCTTCCCGGCCTGAGACCTATCTGCTCTATCATGATGACTCCACCTTCCTCTCCAGATCTACCCTGGCTCCACCAGGACAGGGAATCTTTTCTGTTATCTCATGATTGGTGACTGCAGGACAGCCTCGGGCATTTCTAACTTTTCCTACCTAGAGATAGTAGAGGGATCAAATGAGCCGGGGCATCTTGACTGAACCTCCTGAATCGAAGGCAGCACACCTCATACGTCATCATCACCATCATCTTAGAACTGCAGAGCTGGAAGGGACCCTACGGATTATCGAGTCCAGCTGCTGGGGAAACACCCTAGGATGAAGTAGTTCTGTCCAGCTCTCGTGTGCTCCCCACTCTTCCTCCTCCCCAGATCTTAAAAATCAGGGGACTCCTTTCAGGCTGAGCCAAAGGAGAGGGACGAACACAAAGTGGTAGCAGCAGGCAGCTGGGCTGAAGGTGCCAATTCTCCACTTCCCGGCTTTGAAATCTGATCCTCTTTGTTTGCTGGCTTGCTTCTGCGGAGCCAAAGCTGTCAAGGTGAAGCCGGAGCTCAACCGGATCAAAGGCAAGACCTTAACGGGGCCCGAGCGAAGCTCAGCAGCAGCAGGACTGCATGCCTCATGTCTGGGCAGCCAGCTGTGCTCGACATGGAAGCTCTTGTAAGCTCTGCCAGACCTGAGCTGCTACATCAGAGCGCTGTGGATAACAAAGACCTCCAGCGCTTTGCCGGCGTCTGAGCTGATTGATGGCTCCGATCTACAGTGGCCCAAGCAGCCTAGCTTAGCGGGGGGGGGGCATGCTGTAGTAGGGAGATCTAAGCATAGAGACTGCCGCGCCATTCGCACACAGAGCCGTGGACACTTTTGGAGGGTTGCAAATATATGCAGGCACAACCACACATTCCTTCATCCTCTTGGGGTTAAGCGTGAGAAAGGGTAGGACTGTGTCATATAGGGATGTTCCCAGTGTAGTATTCGTTGGGACATCTACAAATTCTGATGTCTGACCTGGTAAAGAGTAGAGAATATCATGGAGAACTGGACTCCGTGTCTATTTTTAAAACCTCTCCTCCCCTTGTTCCCATATGAGGAGATACTTCAAAATTAGAGCCAGCTGTTGCTGCCGCAAGTGAGAAAGGGGAATTATTTGCAAACTTTTTTTCTGTTCTTTCTCTTTTTGCTGGAGGATAGTTTGGATTTTGTTTTGTTTTAAATTCTCTCGTTTGAGATGGTTGGGTTTTCCCCTTGGACGAAGCTGTGCTTCGTTTCTTTTCTTTTGCTTTTTTCAAGGACCACCTCAGGCTTTAAGTTGGTGTGAATATTGCAGTTTTTTTTTTTTTTTGTAGAAACACTAGAAATTGTGTGGGAGGCAGCATTATTAGACCCAGGCATTAACTGTAGGAGAATCAGAGATTCGTCTTGGAAGGAAGGAAGGAACGAAGGAACGAACAAAGAAATGAACAAAGGAAGGAACGAAGGAAGGAACAAATGAACGAACGAACAAATGAACGATCAAACAAATGAACAAAGGAAGGAACGAACGAAGGAACAAATGAACGAACGAACGAATGAACGAACGAACAAGTTTCTAGTCCTCTTGACTGCAAAGATAGGCTTTGAAGGTGGGTGGAGGCAGGTACAATCTCAGATTCTGGGCTGTGAGGTGGAATAAAATACCCAAAGGCTGATGCAAAAACTCAGTTCTTCCACAACACATGGCAAGTCAAAGCAGGGGGAAAAAAGAAGCAAGTTAGCCAAAAATATCGGAATAGTTTACATATAATTTTTTAAAAACACATGATTCAATTTGCATGGTTTATAACAGTTTAAAAATCTAAGCTTTTTTTTTAAAATCCAGAATACCTTAAATTTCATGGTGCACTGAATTTAGCCCCAAAATTTCGTTCCAGCCTTTGGTGTAAGAAACCCCAGTTCTGCCTATCAAAGGCGATTCTTCAGGAACCAGGGATCACCATCCTGCTAATCCTAATCTTGGAGTGCATTTGTGTGTGCAAATTTGTGCAGAAAGGGATAAAAGGAGCCTTGAAACAAATATCGGTACCTTTTCCAATTCAAGAAGGTGGAACCGCAGAACCTGGATGGCCTGTATCATCTGTAATTATAAAAGAGGGAGAGGAGAAGCTGGTTTATTTCCAAGGCAGAACAAATCGAACAGCGACGGTTTTGATTTTTCTCATTCCTAGAGAGTAAAGCTTACTGAATTAAACTGCCACACTTTCCCATCAACATGGATTGCAAAACAAGGGTGGCTACTGCCTTTCCCATCCATATTCAAAGTTCGCTCATGGAAATCCGGACAAGAAACTGTTCGTCGTCAACCGCCCAGCTGGCAATGATTATGGGCGACGACAGGGCGAAATCTGTCTGCAGATGCTTGGAAAAGTTTGTTCTCTTGACTACGGCTCCCAGCATCCCCACACCAGCATGCTTATGGACTCTGGGAGTGTCTCAACTCTGGATTATCATCTTAGAATCTTTGACCGGCAGAGCCGGAAGGGACCCTCTGGGTCATCCAGTCCAGCCCCGCGAGGAATCAAACTCCCAACGTTTATCTGAGATCACTGGCCTGAGTATGTCTCACACACCTATCCACAGATGCATAAGGATGTAAATATATGGCGCCTATACATAACCGGCATAACACATGAAATATCCATGCCTCGCAGCGGCAATTCCAATACACAGACTCTCTTTTAAAACCTTGGGCCACCCTTTGAGGAGCAAGTGTCCATTTTCTCCTGCAATTATGACACAGGATCAAAGATATTCTGGATGCACTATTGGAGGCCACCCACCACGTATTGCCCACCGATCACGTGACTTTTCTGGACTCGGGACAGAAACAACTGTGTGGAAAGGAAGGAAACCAGGAAAGCCTCTGTCTGCCTGATTTGGAGAATTAGGAAGGGGAGTGTGTAAGTCAGTGGTCCCCAACCTTGGGCTCCCAGATGTTTTTGGACTTCAACTCCCAGAAATCCCGGCCAGCATAGGTGGTGGTGAAGGCTTCTGGGAGTTGCAGTCCAAGAACATCTGGAGGACCAAGGTTGGGGACCACTGGTGTAAGTGACTTCACTACCCTCCCTATAGTTCTTGGCACATGAGGTTGTATTTGGGAGCAGAGTCCAGGGTCCTAGGATAGCTGGCTCTACCCCCCAAGCTGTCAAGAGTCTGTTTAAAAATAAATAAATAAAAACAGCACCTTGAACTGAACAAGGAAGCAAATTAGTAGCCAGCATAAGAGGTTCACAAGACTAATCTGATAGGATCTGTAAAGTGCATGCCAAGTGACGGTCCAAAAGGTAATCTTCCCAAACCCTAGGCCAGACCATTGCGTTTTCCACCAGCTGCCACTTCCAAACAGTCTTCAAGGGCAGCCCCGCATACAACGCATTGCAGTAGTCTGTTAGTAATGAAGATATGGATCTCAGTGGCCAAATCCACCTTGACTGGGAAGACTTGACAGCTGGCCTACTAGCCAAAAATTGGGCAAAAAATATTTCCGACCACAGCAGCCACCAGACCATTCGGGAGGAACTCTTTATGCTAAGCAGGCATCATCTCTAGAGGGAGGGACCAGCCAGGCAGCGGCCCTTTCTTAAACGATGTTTGGCCCCAGTGGCTGCCTGCGGCTAACCATAGATCTAAAGCTGATCATAATGTTCATGCAGGTTTGAATGGCGAACGACACATTTCGTACACAGAGATATGAACAGGGGATCGTTATCACAAAAAAAAAGAGAAAGAAAGACCTCCACAGTTCCGTGTGAGACAGACAGAGAGAGGACAGACCGGCAAGGAAGAGTGTTTCCAGATTTTTGTTTTGTTTTATGTTATTGGCAATTTTTACAAAAAAAAAATTTAAAATAGTAAAGAGCAAAGGTTTCCTTACCAAATTATCCAGCTCAGGGTTGGAAGAAAATAAAGGTTTTTCTGTCCTAACCTAAAAACAGACATTTGGGGAATGGGTGAGGGAGGAACAGAAGAACACAGAAAGAGCGTTAGTACGGGGAATACATGATAGAGGGAAGTGTATAAGATGTGCATCGCTGGGAGAGAGAGGGGGGAAAAATCTGTTTCTCTCATTTCCCAGAAACTGTAAAGTAACAGCAAAAAATGCGACTCTGGGTCCCCCGAGACTTCCAGCTGGCAAGAAAACGTATATTTCACTTTCAAGGGTTTGCAACCTCTTTGTCTCTCCCTCCGGTAGCCCCCTGCGCTTTTTAAATTCCTTCACATTTTTCCTCTCCCTTTCTCTAAAAGACAAGGTCAGTTTCCTTCCATCGGCCTCCTCCTCCTCCCCCCCCCATAAGAAGGAATCTCTCGGTGGTAAATAGGCACAGGACACTAAGCAGACCCGGGCAGACTGCGGGGGGGGGGAGGTCTCCCTTTGCAAGGGATCCTGCGACTCTCCCTGCGCCAGAGACCGCTCCGTTATCTGGGTGGGGCTCCGGAGCCTTGCCGAGGATGCAGCTGTGGTGGCCGGAGCCCCTCCTCCTCCCCCCCCCATAAGAAGGAATCTCTCGGTGGTAAATAGGCACAGGACACTAAGCAGACCCGGGCAGACTGCGGGGGGGGGGAGGTCTCCCTTTGCAAGGGATCCTGCGACTCTCCCTGCGCCAGAGACCGCTCCGTTATCTGGGTGGGGCTCCGGAGCCTTGCCGAGGATGCAGCTGTGGTGGCCGGAGCCCCAGTTTGGGTTCTCTCGGTGGTAAATAGGCACAGGACACTAAGCAGACCCGGGCAGACTGCGGGGGGGGGAGGCCTCCCTTTGCAAGGGATCCTGCCGCTCTCCCTGCGCTGGAGACCGCTCCCGTATCTGGGTGGTGCTCCGGAGCCTTGACGAGGATGCAGCTGTGGTGGCCGGAGCCCCAGTTTGGGTTGGGGCTTTGAAAAAATAAAAATAAAATTAAGATGTCCACCTCCCGGGTGACTTCTAGCCAGCTGGTTCAGCAATTCCGGACCTTGTCCAGAAAAGTAACTTGTCCACCAGACTCATGTCAGACCCCAGGGCAAAAGCTGTCAGGCACAGTGGACAGGGGGCACGAGACGGGGCCTTCTCGGTGGCAGCTCCCAAATTATGGAACGGTCTCCCTTGGGAATTCAGGCTGGCCTTCCGCCCTTCCGCCAACAGCTGAAGCGCCGCCTTTTCGGGCAAGCTTTTAATAATCATAACTGAGTCCCTGAATGCTTTTTGAAATTCAAGATAGTCTTTCAGGTTTACTTGCTTTTAATTATTCCGTGATATTTTCATTTGCCTATACAGTGGTGCCTCGCTTAACGAGCGCACCGTTTAACGACGAATCCACATAGTGACGCGTTTTTTGCAATCGCTAATGTGATCGCATTGCAATGTTCTGAATAGGGTAAACATTGGCCACCGGAAGAAGAAAACGGCCGCCCGCAGCATTTTCGCACTGATTCCTCGCTTAGCTGATCAGCGGGTCCAAAAAGGCCACTGGAAGAAGAAAACGGCCGCCCACAGCGTTTTCGCACCGATTCCTCACTTACCGAGGCGGCGAAAATGGCGGCCGGATTGAGGATTCCCGCTTAGCGGTGAGTTTTGTCCCCATAGGAACGCATTAAACGGAGTTTAATGCATTCTTATGGGGTTTCCCCCCCTGCGTAGCGACGCTTCCGGATAGCGACATTTTTCCTGGAACGGATTAACGCCGCTATGCGGGGCACCACTGTAATTTCATCCATTTGTTGTTGTTGTGTTTTTTTTCACTTGGTATGTTCTTAATTCTATTCTTTTTTAATATTGTGAGTTGCTTCAGGTCTCCTTATCATGAGAAAGGCAGCCTATAAATAGAACAAATAAACAAGCAAATATAAAAAATAAATAATTTTTATCTAAGCCCACTTTCCCTCCAATCTTGAAGAGTAAGCTAGGGCTGGCTCTACCACTGGAGAAAGTAAGGTGACTACTTCGACTAGAATTTCTATACGGAATAGAAATGTTTCAGCTTTAAACAGCTCTAAAATTTCCACATTGGGGACGGGGAGAGAAGACCGGGAAGTCCTTAGTTATGAGCTGCTAAAAACATGTCTCCGTAAGCAGGTAATTGATTTTTTGTCCATCCAGAAATATCAAGCATGGCTCCCTAAGTAGGTTTTTAAGATTGCCATCCAAAGGGAGGTGAATGGACCCTTTTATCCCACACCATCTTCCCCTGCTGCCGTTCGGCTTGGGGTGGGGTGGGGCAAAGCCGTCCATTCATATTGGAGACATTTGGAGATCTTTATAACCACTTAAGAATCATTCACTCTAAAATTACCTTAGACTTGTTTAATAAGCTGCTTTTCACCAGAAGGGAGAGGCACGCCACACCCACTCAAAAACATTTTGCTATTAGGTGCTTTGTTTTTAAAATGTAGACTTGGTTTTGGCCATGGAGAGAGAACTCTGCACATGTCCAGAGGTCCATGGCTTGAGGCGGTACGATTTGTTTGAAACAGACTTGGGCAGTCCAGATGGGTGTGTAGAACCACTCCTAGAAAAGGATCTGAATTGGTTAGGAGATTATCAACCGACTCCATATTTTTATACTATGTGCTTAGCTTTCTGCTTGACTGACTTGATGGCCCAAGTCATAAATGGCGCCGTCTGATCATCACGGAAAGCATTTAAGAGTTTATTAACCTCAACCATTCATTCTCTCAAGACTTCTTCATTTGCATGTACGTAGCTCAGGGCATCTATGCGCTGGACTCTGTCTTTTGGAAAACTGACTCTGAAGTGCCCCTTACAGACACTGAGAGACGAGGGAGCGTTCACACAACTTCAGGCCGACCAGTGTCAAGGGCCAGTGGGCAGTGATTTGCAAAAATCCATGGTTTCTTCCAACATCATCACCACCTTAGACTTAGACTTAGGCATCCTTCAGTACTTCAGAGACTATGGTAACGTGCTCTGAATAGAAGATTTGGAACAACATCTAGTGTGGCAGAGAAGGCCAATTCAGGAGTGACCATCCCTTCCACACTGAAGATAAATCCAATCTGTCCCTTGTCCAGCTACCTGGTTTTACTGGTTTCGGGACTGCCTCTTGGCCTCGGCCTGCTGGACAAGGGTCTCTTCAAATTGGGAGAGG